TAATTATGTCACATCTTGAATACGGAGCATTCCTACTGAACCTGACAGAAAAAAATAAAAAAAAACTACAAAGTATACAATACCAATCTCTCAGAATAGTCCTAGGATGCACAAAAACAACTCCAACCAACGTATTATTGGCAGAGGCCAAACAAATGCAACTGGAACATAGACAAAAATTATTGGGAATCAAATTCCTATCCAAGATCATCAATATCAATAACCACCCCATTGTAGCAATCATTAAAGCAATAAAGCTACAATACATGCATCATGCCAATTATTGGAGGAGAAAAGACATCCCATTCCTTGTACAGTCCTTAGACTATCTATATCAATACAAAGACAAAACAGAGACACTAGATAGATTAACATGCTATATAATTAAATTCGAAACACAAATTAGTAAACTACCCACAATAGATTTAGGGCTAAGGAAAAATGATCCATATGCAAGAATCTCATTCATCGCAAACACAGAAAAATACGAAAAGGATTACACTTTTATTTACACGGATGGATCAAGACAAAACAAAAAAACAGGATATGGAATACACTGTCCCAGTCAAAACCACAACTTCAGCTGCAGACTCCCGAATGAAATTGACATATGCACAGCAGAGATAATGGCAATTAAAGAAGCAGCATTATACATAATCAGAAAAAATATAAAAAATGCAATAATCCTCTCAGACTCAAAGAGTGCAATAGACAGACTCAACCAAACATACATCAACCCGGAAATCGACTACTTCACCCTAAGAACCAAAGCATTAATAAAAGCAGCAAACGAAAATGAAAAGGACATCAGAATTGCATGGATTCCTGGACACGCAAATATACCTGGGAATGAAACAGCAGACAAACTTGCCAACATAGGAAGAGGACTATACGTCCCAAAAAGAATACCCCTAAACAATGGACAAATATACAATATAATAAAAGAAAAAATATGGATAGAACACAACGAAGCCTGGGAAGCATCCCTCAAACAAAAAGGCAGATGGTATGCCCAAATACAAGAAAAGTTTCCTACAATGCCATGGTACAAAAAATTCCCATACGTGCACAGAAATCACACAACAACAATAACAAGAATGAGAACTGGACACTGCCTAACCAAAGAATACCTCCACAAAATAGGCATCAAAGAATCACCAAACTGTGAGTGCGGACAGGTTGAGGACCTAAACCACATATTCCTGGAATGCCCAATAAATGCTATAGCAAATAACGACCTCCACTGCATCTTAAGTAGGGAAGAGGATCATGCAACACCTCTATCAATGACCACTGTACTAGGAAAACTGAATAACAATACAATTAATATATTGAATAATTTTCTGAAACACAATAAGATAGAGCTTTAGCCTTACAACCCCAAACTATCAAACTATCAGAATCCATAACACAAAAAAAAAAAAAAAAAAAAAAAAAAAAAATATCCTTCACAGATTCCAAAGCATAAACAATCCTCTGTTGTGTATGTCCCAAACTAACAGTCCATCACCTGAAGATAATTATTGAAAATCAACGAAAAAAGAAAAGAACAGAAGAGAGAAGACAAGAAATACACACAGATAGTGAAGAAGATGAAAGTGCAACGACGATGGTCAAGAGCCAGATAAGGTTGCTGCACAAGAACAAATGAGCTGGCAAATTGCCCTTGAAAGGAGCAGAAGCCAATAACCATACAAAAAAAAAAAAAAAAACCTTCTCAGGGAGGTACCTATATTATTATTGTATGTAAAATTTTCGCATTAAGTAGATAAGATGAATTCATTCTAAATAGAAGGTTTTCACAATAATATTTACCTATTGTAGATATATTTTGTAATACATTTACCTACCTATTGCATATTATTATGCATTATATTCAGTCCCCAGTACATCGACCCTAAAAATTTTTAACTCATGTACCTACACGCCAAACTTCCTGAGCGGCTTCATAGCACCAAGTCGGACAATTTTGTTCATATCTCCAACCCGGGCGATGGGACATTATCGCGCTAGCTCTTCGGGAAGTTGTCATTCTGACGTCCCTGAGAACGGTGATACACGTATTATATGTAATTTTAATTCTAATCGACTGTTTCTATGTTATTCTAACGATATCACATTTGTCGGACAAAAATCTCGTGGCATTGGGGGGGGGGGGGGGGGGGTCTGACGATTTCAAGATATTGACCAAAATCCGATTTTTTTCAATGGGACACCCTATATATTAATAGCTCATTAGAAAGCTCTGCCTTTGCTGATTTCAATGATACAAATTTCGATAGGTTTATCTCTAACAGTTTTCGAGAATTTTTTTTTTTCGGCTTTCGTCATAAGAAACAATGAGTTATAAAGAGACCTTTCTCAGTTTCCTTATAGATATAAAGTCCTTTTCTTACACATTGCTTCTTATGACAAAAACCGAAATAATTTTTTTTCTCCAAAACTATTAGAGATAAACCTATCGAACTTTATATCACTGAAATCAGAAAAAGCCGAGCTTTCTAATGAGCTATTAATATATAGAGTGTCCTATAAAAAAAACCAGACTTTGGTCAATATCTCGGAGTTGGGACCAACTAGAAAAAAAATGAGAACGTCACTGAATTCTGCTTGAAAAAGTGCTTCTAGAAAGTTTTTACGGAAATCAATAATTTTCATAAACAAAAAAGTTATGATGGTTTCACATTATTGCTCAAAATCGAGAATCGCCCTCTAGCGGCTAAACGGTTGAAGATATCAAAATGCGGTTTGCACCAATCAAAATTTCAAGAAACCTGAGCCTCGGAGTGGGGGGTTCATTTTTTTGTATCTTGCTAAGAACTTGATGTTTCCTATTAAAACCATCCAAATTCGGAGACCCTGTACATGAGTTACAAAATTTTAGGGTCGATGTACTGGGGACAATTAGTTCCAAGGAAAAAATATTACCTACATTGTTATGAAATTACATTGCTGCAGAGAAGCCGACGCCACTGTTAACGGTTATCGGAAATTTCATTGGGCTATTTATTAAATACCCAACCATTTTCGTGATTCTAGAGATTTGTCGATTAAATGGTTTTGTATATTATAAAGCGCATATTTTGTAAGTCAGTTTGAATAAGAGATGTTTTGTGTACAGTTAAGTGGAAGTCATATTGTTATAAAAGGGAGTGAGCCCGCGGAATCCGCGTGATTATCATAAACCTACAACCTACCGCGGCGAGAGTTTGTAGCCTGAATTATCCTGAACGAAGCTGAAAAGTAAAATTACCTAAACTCCGTTTTAAAGTTACTCAAAAGTTATTTAGCACGTAGGTTAGTACCTAATAGATATACCAATTAAATTTGCATTATCGACCACCATAAAATCCTTGTAATGTAAGAACTTCCGGATCAATGTACTAACTGCCTTATAAAAGCCACACAGAAATGTCTTCAAGAAAAAAAAAACAAAACGAAAAACTTAAAATAACGTGGCTATTGTCTTGCCACAATCAAAATGCCGAGAGTTTCAGAGATGCTGGAGCTCGGGTGCAGGCACACTATATAATCAAAGCTTATAATGGCTTTGGAAATCTTGTTCTTTTTTATTTAAGGTCTTTGGGTCGGACATGCACCTGCCGTGTGGTACAAAAAAGATTTAATGAGCCGACGTATCCCAAGGTACGATGGCATTCAGAAGGCTGGGTAAAATTATACGGCCGCAGGTACTACACCACGGTTTATGTTATAGGAATGTGATTATTGGATAAAATTGGAACATACCGCTACACTAAGTGCTGGTTGCTCATTGTTCAAAGATAGGAATTATTGAAATTTCTAATCTTCATAATGCTTCAAATGGTTTTTTTATACACATTGATAATTGAATATTTTGGATTTTCTCGAAAATAGAGGAAAGGTCAAGAATAAGCCCCTGTTCAGTCCTCGTACTGATTGCCTAATAGATACCAATTACCAAATTACGTTAAGAAAACTGAGCAAATTATACAAAATTTACAGGGCTCTCCACTTTAACAGTTAGGTCATTGACCACTAACATTATCATGTTCTTTTACAACAAAATAGGTACAGTAACTTAAAGAATGCCTAAAAAAGTGCGAATTTTGGGTTCTTTTTTGTCCGATTCGTAAATTTATTTTTGAAGACATAAGGCATATACTTACTTGTGAAAAAAACTTTTATTTACGACTAATGTATAATGTTAGTATTTTATTTTTGATTTTGGCAGTATAATGACATATGTTATTCTCCCAGGGAATAATGACGAGTAGCGGGATTAATGGTCATTAATTATCCCTCGGAATGTTACTCCCTCGCCGCTAACGCGGCTCAGTTAGTAAATATTCCTCGGAAATAATAGCTATCATTATTGACTCGTGTTATACCTAATCTACTATGAATAAATAGGTTTGTCATAAACAAAAAATAATGTCAAAGTTTAAATAAATTTCGCGCGAGGGGGTCGAATACAGAATCACAATTATCTAAATACGAAGGTAGGTACCTACATGAAATTATAAAAAACCGCCAATTACATCGGAATTCGCCTATTAAGATTAATGAAATCGCTATTATGAAAGAAACTTTGTTATCATTTCTTTTGTTTGAATTTTTACAATGAATCCGATTAGAATAGATTCTCGCGTCTTTACGAACAAAAATTCGGTATTTCATCAGGAGTATGAAACGAACTGATACAATTTAAATGAAATTGATTGATTGATTTTTAAAAAAAATCAACAAGATGATACATTTTTATCGTTTTCAATATTTATTCTTGTTGTTGAGTTTTTTTTTTGTTCACTTTTCACTTCAAATCTAGTACTACACATACAAAAGTCATTGAAAATAGCAGTTTTTTATTTCTATACAGTCACAGAACTTTTGAAAATATCCAATGCACTAACAAAGTACATTTATTTACAAATTTTTTTTGTTACCTAATATAAGAAAACAATTAGATATTTAAAACATTTACATTTAAGTTATATCTAAATTTTTACAGTTGGTCATACCTTTCGCTCCCAGGATAAAACAAAAACTTGTCAGGTCTCAAAAGTAGGTAGTTTATCCAAAAAAAACGAGGCCGAAAAATTACCGATAAGCCGCTCACTCGCGAAGAAAACAAAAAGACGCGGCGCAACACTCATGCAACATGGAAGTGAACTTAGCGGAACCACTGCTTGTCTCGATTAAGCGCTCTGCTACAGGGGCGACTAAACTAGAAGCAAGGAAAGCAAGTGAGTGGATGCGATGTTAATTGTTATAAATCGCCGCACGTCACGACTGCGGAGCGCAAAACCGAAACTATCTGATGTAGCTACAGCCTTAATTTTATAATGCACTCTGATGCTTTCTGGAGATAGGTATTTTCATTTTTAAAGGATTTTCTTTCTCTAATACCTGTGTGCTTTTATAAAAAAGCAATGCTGATTGTTTATGGTCATGTTAGATTGAATTTTCAATTAATTATGATTACCTAGCATGTAGGTTTATATGGGTACAGCAACCTATAGAACGAATAATATAAAATGTAGGTATAATACAAAAATACTAACTAAGCTATCAACTTGGGAATAATGAAATAATAATAAAATTCGAATAGCAAATTGCATAATTTTCAAAAGAGAAGAGAAAAGAAGCAACCGACATAACAATGAGAGAACATTCATATCCTCAGAATATTCCCCCAAAATGCTTTTTGGAATGTTCTTTTATAGGAATGTATAATGAATATTTTAAGATTGTTTCGACTAAAATATTAATTTTTGGACGTTCTAAACTTTGCTTTATATAACATTACTAGCTGAACCGGCGAACTTCGTACCGCCTATGAATTATTAAATACCTATTAAATGTTGTGTTAACGTATCTAGTAGATTTTTTCAATGGTGAATTTGGCCCTGGTTGAAGAAAACTAATGTTTACTCCCTGGATCAGAAATCACCTAAAATTAAAATTTTACATCATTTGGCTATTGATTTCAAATAGGGTGCCTCGCTTGGATCATAATCGCTCTCGGAGCACTTCCGCAGAGATCTGTGATGTTACCGCCCGAATAGAGAGCGCTCTGGGAGCAGTAAAGCCGAAAATGCTATAAGATAATACTGTTACGTCGGTTGAATGGAATAAACAAAAATAAGTTGAGTTATGTAGTGGTGAGAAGCAAGAAAAAATTAAAAAATTTTGGGGTGGACCACCCTTATCACTTAGGGGTATAAAAAATAGCTTAAAACCTATTCTCAGACCTACCGAATATACATATAAAATTTCATAAAAATCGGTAAAGCCGTTTCGGAGGACGAAGGTAACTAAAACTGTGACATGAGAATTTTATATATTAGATTTATTTGACTATTGTCATACGAAGTTACGAACATTATTATAATGAATGTACTCTAATGTTTCGGCTAATATTTCGATCAAGTATTAAGAATATACCAAGTTTTGCTAAGAATTAAGTTTTATTTCCTATATATACACCTCTTATGGGTTTTTGGTTTTCTGTCAAACTCAATGAAATTTTGGTATGTGTTAGACCTTGACTTCCTGATAAAAAGTTCTCATGGGCCCGAACCAATCCTATGATTAGTTTTTGAGATACAGGTACTTTAATGTCCAAGAAATGCACACATTTTATGTGTTCACATCTACCAGTCACCCAATAATAGGTCTGTTTCTGCAAAAATCACAAACCCATCAGAGCGAATTTGATTGGTCGAAAACAGTCAGAAACAGTCAGAAAATTAGTTTCAACCAATGAAATTCACTCTAAAAGACCTATTGATAGGTGACAGGTAGATGTGAACGCATATAAAATGTGTACATTTCTTGGACATTAAACCACCTGTATTTCGGAAACTATTCATAGTATCGGGTTGGGCCCATGAGAACTTTTTATCAGTAAGTCAAGATATACCACATATCAAAATTTCATTGAGTTTGACAGAAAACCAAAAACCCATAAGAGGTGTGCGGGGTCCTTTATAAATGCATATTTTCACTATTTCACTCTACAAGAATAAGTATCTACATAAATTATCAGACTTTTAGATTGAGTTTGGAACAACAAATTTATACAAAATACAAAATATATTATTATTTCTCGGATGATAAACATTAATTTAATATACAGTGTGTCCAAGATAAGGATGGGATAGCGTTGGGATCTGGAGAACGATTGCGGAGTTACAATGTTGTTTAGATTAGGAAAAAAACGAAATTTTGCAAAACCGATTTTATATTTTCCTCAGCTTACTTATTTGAGGAGATATTCTAAAATAAATGTCACTTCATCGTTACCCCTCCTCCTTCTCTACAAGATGACATTCCAGGTATTCTTTCGATCTGAACAAACTGATCGTAATCACATGAGGTTTGTGAATGAAATCGTTGTAAAACCGGATGACAATTTTTTGAAACAAACCTCAAGTGAGTTCGATCAGTTTGTTCAGATTGAAAGAATACCTGTATTATAAATTTTGAAATTTGACGATTCATCATCGGCCACCATCATCAACTTCATTTTTTTAAATACGGATCTTTATTTTCTATTTTAGATTTTTTAAGCTTCTGATGTCCCAAAACCAATGACGTATTGCACTTAAGACCGGTATTATAAAGCCTGGTTTACCGAAGGTTGAGTCATAGGGGTTTTAACCAGGGGTTGAACTGAAATTTCTGATTTATGATTTTAAATGAAAATTTCAGTTCAACCGATGGTTGTAATTCAACCTCCAGTCAACCGGACTTTATAATACCGGCCCCTTATTCGAATAATTTACATTTGCGCTTTCCATAAGAAAATGTGTTAGAGACAGAGAAGAGATTTTTGGTATGAAAAAATTGAAAAGTTAAAAAAAAAATATGTTCTCGAATAAATACAATACGTCCTTAAAAAATCTGAAATAAGAAATCAAAGGCCGTATTCAAAAAAATGAAATTGATGATGGTGGCCCAAAGACGAAACGTCAGATTTCAAATTTGAAAATGTCATCTTGTAGAGTAGAAAAAATTGTTACGATAAAGTGACATTTATCTTGAAATACTTCTCAATATACCATTTTATTGAGCGCTAAATTGCGCAACTTTTTCCTAATAATCTAGTCAAAATTGTAACTGCAACCGTTCTCCAGATCCTAATGCTATCCCATCCTTATCTTGGACACTCGTATACATATACAAGCTGCCCTTACCAACCTACGAAGCAACATATTCACAAAATTTAGAATAATTACATAGTCTACACATTTGCTCAGTACCACTTATTGCCTACCTTTTTTTGTTTTACCATCCTATAAATATTATTAGTTTTATTCAGAACATAAATATTTGAAAGACATACCTACTTAGAATGTACCATGATATTCACAATGCACATTTTTTACACATACAGTACTTTGAACTAAAATCGTAGGTAACTAAAGTGCCCTTGTAGTAATAAACTGCTCGCCAAAAAAAAAAAACGGCTTGTCCCGTTTTTTTTTGGCGAGCAGTCTAGTTGACATTGAATTTTTATTTTGTTGTTCATAGAAAACTGAACAAAAATAAGAAGCACCAATATGCGACACTTACCAAACTTATCTTTGACAAATAACAATATTGAAATAATAATGATGCGTCGGTATCGGTAGTATTGGGTTTTATTTGGAATTTGAAATTCACTTAATTATCTAAAGTACCTACTCAAAAATCTTAATTGCACATTAAACAATAATGCAATTAATGATAATTAAACAAAAATATTATAGGTATAGTGAAATTATTAAAATAATGGTTGCAGGTCATCAATGACGTCGAAATTATTGCCAGTTGCAATTTGTAAGACATTAAAATTCGTTTCAAACTCAGAGCGCATTTTCTCTTTTTTTTTTAACCCTAGTTAAAAAGGGATAGAATGCTGTCAGATCATATAACCGAATCCGCCTGTAAAATGGGATTTAGGTTGGCACTCGTGGGTAATGTTGCCAATGGTTGCCTAGTGGCGTGTCCAGACTTTAACAGACGGGGAAGCTGTGGGGAAAGATGGTGAAAGTACAGAACAGGCGAGACTTATAATTTCAGAACCAGTCAGCCACTCACAAGTTTCATATATTTCTTTTTGAAAATGTCTACATGAAGTTTAGTTTAGTCACAGATCACCTAATACAGATGCGAAAGTATATATACTTGCTGTCGACGATATTCTGTGACGAAGCCGGGCCGCCAGCGGCCCCACGCATAGATAAAGATCGCCCGCGTCAGGACAACTAACGTGGCCGAGTGCGTGAGCATGTTCCAGCCTGTGTGTTTACATATTTTTGCGGGTAGAAAAAAATATTTTTTTGCTGTTTGTGAACCAATTAAAGAAATAATATTATATTATTGAGCTTCCGCATTTATATAATAAATATGTTCAAAATACATTGATGTGGCATTGGCGCGGCCAGCCTATGTCTATCAAATTAATCTTGAACCACGAATTCGCCGCTCTTTCGCATCTGTATGTAAGTAATCTGTGGTTTAGTGTTCTTAATAAATCCTCGAGGGGAAGCTGTGCTTCCCTAGCTTCCATAGTAAACACGCCACTGGTTGCCTCCTGCAAATCTTTGATTATTGATTTTAATATTTTGAGATTTGTTTTGTCAGTTTCTAATGAGTCGGGGATTGATAGTTGGGATATAATTTAATTTGCTATAAAATTGTATTGATGGAATTTCGTTTTTTGGTATTAATTTCAAAAGATTCAAAAGGGTGTTTGTGATGTTCTCAAGCATCTTCCTAAAAAATCCGTTCTAGTTCCACTTTTCCAGGACCGGACCTAGACCGACTCTTATTTTTTTAACAGGGTGGAGTGTATCGAACAACGTGATTTTCCAAGCAATACATTGGTTTTTATTTTTTATCTCGTAAACGTCTTATTGAACATGAAAAACTCGGGATACCTTTTTGTTTAAAATTAGACAAGGAATTAAAAAAATAATTTTTAATCTGTCAAAAGTCCCAGGGGCAGACCGCAATATTTTCTTTAAAAAAAAAACAGGAGTCGCTCTAGGTCCGGTCCTGGGAAAAGTGGAACTGAAACGGATTTTTTAAATAGGTGCTTGAGACCATCGCAAGCACTCTCTGAAAATTTGAACAAAATCGCTCAAGGCATTTTGAACCTTAAGGTAAAAAGTCAAAATTTTCCGAAATTTTCAACACTCTGTATTTTCTTAACGAGACGTTTGCGGACACCATATG